CTGCAAAAGTTTCGCGACAGGTTGCGGGCAATGGCCACGCGCAGCGTGTTCTCGTACTTGTGAATAATGTTCCGCTGAAAGGCTCGCAGCTGACGCATTTCGTCGTCAGTGCTAGTAATGGCTGATGAGTTGGATGATGATGATGAGTTAGATGAAGTTGATGATTTAGCTTCTGACCACACCGAGGAGCGTCCCCTCTCCTCGCCGCCGTCGTCACCGGCGAACTTCCGCAGAATCTCCTCCAGGGCGGCGAGTATCTTGCAGGTCTGCTCGCTGCTGAGGACGACGGTGGCCGACTCGAGCAGCGGCAGACAGTCGAGAATTACCTGGAAGGTGAAGAACTCGGGAATGGCGTTCGAGGCGAGCATGTCTACCAGAATGACGGCCGCCGGCTCGTACTGGGCGGCGCCCTTCAGCTGGTGAAACTCGTGGTACTTGCCGAGGAAGATCAGCCGGTCGGAGAGGACCAGGTGGCTGCCCAGGTTGGCCACCATCTCCCGGTCCAGCAGCTCCCCGTCCACCGCCAGCTTCCCCGTCTGCGTCACCTGCTCCACGGCGGTCTTCAGGTAGTGGCGGAGGTACTGCTCGACGATGTAGTTGATCAGCATCTTGTCCTTCGAGCGGACCGCCCAGAAGAGCGCCGAGCCGTACTTGGCGCGATTGGCCGCGTTGGCCGTCGCCCGGGCGAGCCACTGCCGCGAGTAGATCTTGTACAGCGACAGCTCCAGCTCCACAAAGTTGAAACGCCGGGCGAGCGAGACCAGCGTCTGCAGCTCTGGCTCACTGTCAAAGGGCATCCGCTCGAGGCAGAGCAGAATGCGGTCCTCAGAGTCGCGGACGTTGACCAGGTACTCAATGGCCAGCTGCCAGAACTGCTTCCGCCGGGAGAAGAGCGAGTCGGCGTAGTCGGTGACGAAGGCGTCGCGAATCTGCACAATGTCCGCAATTTGGTAGTCCTTGAACTGGCTCGAGTTGTAGATCAGGTCGACGAAGTGGGTGACGAACCACCAGTTGTCGTTGAAGCAGACGCTGGCCCGGCCGATGACGTCCATCAGATTGTAACCGAAAGCGGAGCGAATGAGCTCATCAAAGGGGTCCACCTCGAGGGAGGCGGCGTCAAAGGCGGCGTAGTAGCCGTTGATGAACTGATCACAGAGGGCGTCAAACTTGCTCGCCTTCATGCAGGGGTCGTTGAAGAGCAGGTAGGAGACCATCATCTGGTACCAGGAGCCGAAGAGGTGCGGCACCGACTGGAAGGCCTCGAACTCGCCGTTCAGCAGCCGCAGGAGGAGGCTCAGCTGGACGTGGCTGCGCTTGCTGTTCGAGGGAATCTTCTGCTCGGCGACGGCCGCGTAGACCGCCTCGTGCCAGAGCTCCCAGCGAATGTAGAACTCGTGCTGCGCCTGGTTGCTGGACAGGGTGGGAAACTTGGCGAGCAGGTCGCGCACCAGAATGAAGGCCGGGTCGGTGTGCGCCTCGGAGTGCAGCTCCAGGAAGAGGACGGCGTTCTCCATCTCGCCCCTCAGCGCGTAGAAGAGGATGACGTCCCAGTAGTACTCGGCCATCTGCGGCATCTCCTCGCTGATCACCCGCTCCGCCACCTGGACGTACTCGGTGAAGTGCCACTTGACCCACTGCAGCAGCTGCACCAGGAAGGCGCCCGGACTGCGAATGTCGATGAAGAGAATCTCGCAGAGGTGCCAGGCAATCTCCAGCTTCTGCAGCGCCCCGGACAGCTCCTTCAGGTCGTCGCTGTCCGACTCCTCGGTGACCACCACCGCGCCGGCCGGCGTCAGCTCCTCGGGGGTGCTCACCTTGAGGAACCAGGAGTGAATCACCGAGCGGTACTTTCGGCTCGACTTGTGCAGCTCCTGCAGGTTGAGAGGTTCCATTTCGCGGGACACCCGTTGGACGTGCTTGAAGACGACGCCTGACTCGGAGACGAAGCCGCGTGCGTGGGCTTTGGTGAAGAGCGACGAGTGCGGCTGCCAGTCATTCGAGTGCGGCCTGATCAGCGTCCGCTCCTGCTGCTGGCTCCGGCGGGGGTCCTGGCTGGCGTAGTGACCCACTTGTACCATTGTCGGCTTGTTGTCGTCTGGTTGATCTTAGCTGAAAGATGGAGTGAACGAAGAAGAATAAAATGATCAAGTTTCTTTTCAAGTTCGCAAATCAACAAAACTGAAAGCCGGATTTTTCGGCGTGTTTTGAGTCAAAACGCGCGCAAAATAGCCAAAGCGAAAAACCGCCACTCTGCTTGGGTGGAANAAATAGCCAAGCGAAGTGAAAAACCGCCACTCCGCTTGGGTGGAAATAGATTTTTTTAAAAACGTTTTTCTTTCGCCAAAGCACATGTTTACATTTTCTAACGGCTTTGTTGCTCGGTCGTTGCAGCAGCAGCTTTCACTTCATTTCATTTCTCATAACCGCCGCATCGTTCTACTTCTTCACCTGACTGATTTTACCGTTTCATTATTCTATTTCCCAAAATGGAAGACATCGAAGAGTGCTTCACCAAGTTCTTCCTCCAGCAGGCGGTGGAGATTGACCCGGCCACCGTCCAGGCGCTGATTGACCATGGCTTCAAGAGCAAGGTGGCCCTTCTCGCGCTGGACCTGGTGCACGACCTCCCTCAGATCACCGAGGTGTCGCTGGCGCAGAAGGCCATTCTCCGCAAGTACATCGGCACACTTCAGGAGTACTCGCCCCTCACGCTGTCCATTGACGAGGAGGCGCTCAAGAAGTACAAGGAGCCGAGCAAGCCGAATAAGAAGCGCAAGCTGGAGTACGTTGAGCCGGAGTCTTCCGATGACGAAGAGGAGTTGCGAACATACTTCGAAAGTCTTCCTCCAAAAGGTCTTTCACAGCAGAGTAATCGCAGCACAACCAGGCAGGTGCCTGCCCTTCAGGCGGCCAGCAAGGCGCAGAGTCCCGGTCGAGTGGCCTTCAATGGGATCTTGCTGCCCGAATCGCCGGTGAGGTCTCAGCGGGTCAGCATCAAGTACCATGTCATGTCAGAGGAGGACAGTGATATGCCAGCTGAAGAAGAGGTGGTGGAAAAAGCATCAAGTCAGTCTTCCGCTGCTGCTGCTG